ACCCTAGAGATTCGTACGAGAACCCCCCACCTAACTTTTATAGCTTCTTTCTAGACCAAGCCGATGTCGGGCTGAAATTTCCTTTACATTCCGACCTACTCAGCTGAGCCAGTTAGAGCGTTTACCCTTAAACCAATTTCCTCCCAACGCGATCCGCTTCCTTGTTGGCTTTGTCATGATATGCCGAGACCGTCTCAGCAAACTCGACCCCGAACTATGCTTCTATTGCCTCTGGCTCAGGTCCCTTAACAACTCACCATACCTCATGCGCTGCAACAATGCTCGTTTCTTAGAGCAACCTAAGTCGAAGGTCCATAATTGGAAAAAAAAAATTTTACTTCGTTCGTCCTCCTCCTGATACCTTCGACTTCCCATCAGACTGGCTAGATGAGATGTCAGGTCAGCGCAAAAATTCGAAGTGGAACGCCGAATACGACACCCTTATCCGCCTATGGAATGCTCGCCCGCCCCACATGGTGAAGCTAACCACTAATGACGGGCTCATTCGGAACTTCCAGCAGTCAAGCTGTGCTGCTGATCCTATGGGTGACATAGGTAGGCCTCGGCGCCACGAGCTATCATCATATCACCTGCCCTTTAATTACTCGAATTATCTCTCTATGTTTAAGATATAATGTCCATTAATTAATTCAGTTACTGATAATCAAGAATTAATTAATTTATTATTATTTCACCGAAGCTAGCGCTCGTTCATCACATTATTACTATGCCGGAATTTAATCCACCTGCAGGGTTTAGTATAATAATCCTTCATGAACTCACTCCGAGGACATCATCAAGTTAAACGTACATGGTGACCGTAAATATCATAATAACACATCATACATGCAACAATATTATTCAAGACAGTAGGACTATTGATCCAGTTCAGTAAACCTCACCCATGTGAATCAACATAATATATACTGCATATACATGTCTATTTAATATCTTATGGGTTAAAAGAACACAGTAATTAACTGAGGCCTAGCTCATTTATGTCGATCGGTATAAAACGAATTGTTCCTCTCTGGGATCCTGTTCAATACATAAATGTACTAGTGCAACTAATTAGTCAAGACAAACTGTACCGTGGACACTACAATCGTTCACGATGGGGTGTTCATGTCCATCTAGGTTGTGAACCAATATTCTTATTTCGCAAGTGACTAATATAATGATCTTTGGTTCGCCCGATGACGACCCACACTATCAAATTGCAAAACAACAGAATGTAGAACTTGTTTAATCTAACATATTTCTCATTTACAATAAAGGGTAAAAGTGTAATATCATTCAAAGTCAAACTTTCTGTATATATAACACTAACAACCCCAACTACGTGTGGTCCTTATTCTATTAATATTCTTTCATATCTATTAGTTTGTCTTGTTAAACTGCCTAATTGGGTGACCAGCTCAAATCCCGTCGAGGTAGAATATTGCGTATATCGAGTTGGTGCGTCCTGTCCTTTTAGTCGATGTCACAACCAACCATACCTTCAAGTGGAATTTCCACCAGGCCATCCAAGGGCCCTAACTTGAACTGTCGGTGCCTCTTAAAGCCTTCAGTGCCATCCTCGAACCGTGGGCTCTTTGTTCCGTACTGTTGTTAAACCTCCATTTGACCTACATATGATTCTATTCGACCAGCTGGTCGAAATGTCTGGTCAGCCATGAGGTATCCTATAGCTCATGAAAACATACATTTATGTGAGTTTTCAAAGAAGGGAAAAACACGAAAAATATTCAGAGAGATAGAAAAAATATGTTTTCTAGTTCCACAAGGAATAGAATATGCTTGGTCTCTCTCCTTATCTTGAATTTTAGAGTGCGTGAGTTTTGAGAGGAAGAAGATTCGGTAGCTCATCTGGTGAAGGGATTACAACAGAAGACATTAAGGTCATGTGGCTTGATATTCATCCCGTTGACTGAAGAATTCGTCTTTGAGTTTATGATTAAATACTTTACGGTACAACATGTTAGTGTGTATAATAAAAGCTTGCCTATAGATGAGATTCACACTATTTATGTTGAATGAGAATTCATGTTTGGTTAAATAAAGTTCTATGTCATATTGTTTTGCATTTAGATACATGGTTCATCACGGATGGACAGAAGATCATTTATCGGTTAATTGCGAAATATAAATAATTGATTCACAACCTAGATTGAAATTGAAAAATTCATTGGAATGGTTGTAGTATAGGCGGTACAGTTATCTTGACTGATTAGCCGCACTTGTACACATTGGTGTATTAATTGGGTCGTAGAGATGAGCAGTTCATTTTATAATGATGACGTAAACGAACTAGGCCTCGGCTAACTTCCCGGTGTCTGGATCGCAATCCCGTCCGCTCACGCACGTGTCCCGCGACAACTGAGAAGGCCCGTTCCGCTGTCCAACAGACTTTGTGATCAGTCGATCTCCTCCAAAGGAATTCTACAACGACTCAGCGTCAACACAAATAACAAACCGTGAGCCTTCTACTTTTTCCTATAAATTCGCTGTGCATAGGTAATTTTGTAGTTAAATTTGTAACTTGCACATTATCCACGATCCTTATAAATCCCATTACAATATACATTTATAATCTAGTTTCCGTTGCGCATAAATTTATAAACGTAGATTTTCAATTGAGTATTAAGATTTCCACGTTATTCACCTAACCTAATATTAACAATTTTTAGCAAAAATGAAAGTTTACTAAATATGCTTTACTATTTTTGACATCCTACTTATTGGTAGTAATATTACCAGATAGCCGATACATTTAATAGAATTCACCAACCGCGTAAAAATAATTATAAAAATCCACCAACTTTGTATAAAAGTAATAAATAGAATGCTCCAGCTGCGTACAACTAAAAAATCCTTTAACGGCAAAAAGTTTATTCATGTAATATTATTTTTTGACCATATATAATTTTGTAAATATTACTATTTTTTTATAATTGGATAGGATTTTTATGTTTTATTTAGTTAGCTATGATTTATCTCATTCACATAAGGAATGAAACAATTATTAATTTTTTTAACCATTGTTAATATGCTATTTTTTTTTAGTACAAACCCACAAATTAAATAAAAAAAATAAGAAATATTGATTTTTATATGTTTTCTAAAAGAGGAAAAAAAAAATGTTCCCCACTTTATATATTTTTAACTATTAATAAATACCAATTAATATAATATTATATTATTTTATATTACATCAACTTCTATTAATGTATTTTTATCTTGTATCCCCACATAATATAGTCTTTCTAAAATTTGTTTCCCTACAACAATGGATAAATAGTAGTATTGTTTTAGCTATTTTTTTCATTTTCGAAAAAAATGTTATATGGAATCTAAAAGTGTAATAATTTTTTTTCCGACGCTGCATAAAATCGATTGAAGATTGCTGCATTAGATGACATTGCAACCACGCTTTATTGTAGGAATCCCGCATATCATCATCTTCTTTTGAAGCACATTTACAGAAGTTTTCGGCATTTATTACAAAATCCGTTCATCCAAAACGGCCCGCGACACTGCTTTGCTCTCCGTCTGGGCGCTGAACACGAAGATCACTATCCCAAGCGGCGGCGATCAATTCTTTGCTTGCTTGTTTGTTTCTCTTTTCAGGTTATAATAATCCATTCATCTGATTTCAAATTCAGTCGAGTACGAATATGTCAACTGTAAGTCTTTGCTTGATTAGCGAGCCTCGTGTGGTTCGCTTGGCTGCCCTTCAATTACTTCCATGGCGGTATTTTCTGCTGCTTCGAACGCCGTTGTGTTTGATAAGTACGTGTGTGTGTGTGTGTGTGTGTGTGTGTGTTCCACCGTTTTCGAGAAGAACGCTCTTTGCGAAAATGGTGGGAGTTGAAGTTAAAGGTGTTGTTATCTGTACTGGAGTTTGTTTCCATAATGTGATTGATGCAAAATATGTGGCTGCACTCGGATAGTGTCATTTTTGTTGTTAATTATGTTAAGCATATTAGTGAGGGTTCCTCTGCCAATTTATGAGCACGTTTGTGCTACAAAATTTCCTGAATGTTTATGCAACAGCTGGATAATACATTTTTATGTTGTTCTCCTGCGATATCATATAAATGGCCCCTGCATTTAAATGTACAGCTGATTTCTTTATTTCTTTCTTTTTTTTTTCTTGTGAACAGTAGTTATATTAGATTTACTTCTATGACTTTGTTAGTAATTTATTTTTTCTTTAATTTTTAAATTTTTTTTTAATTTTTTTTTTCTATTTCCCCCCCTTTTTTGTTGGATCTTTTTGTTTAGGATCAACCATTATTGCATTTCAGTTGTGTGCCGGAGGCTCTATCGTATCGTTGTTTTTTAAGTATCTAAATGATGTGTTGGGTTGCCACGATCATGCTTATGAGCATCAGTCACATATAGTTTTCGTAAGCATCTTATACCACAGAGCATAAACCCTTTAAATATATAAGCCCCTTTTTCAGTTCATTTCAACTCAGAGCATGAATAATGCAGTTTCAGATATCATTTTATCAAATGCAGCTGTGGATAGTATACATACCCTTCTTATAGTTCAAAACTGTAAAAACCTATCTTAGGGTAGTTTTTCTGGAAAGATCAATGTATACATGCCTTGTACTTGTGCGTGGAAGTCTCTTTCACTAAACTGTACAAGCTAGCCTATATCAGATTGCCCGTACCTATGCTGCTTTTTCTGTGCTATGCTGGTTTCGTAATCCTTTGCAAAGTAATGCTTCAGAATCCAGATGTACCAAATCCAAACATTCATTTGCCGGCTATAGCATGCAACACACTTTTTGTAGCTAATCACCTGTACACACAAATTCGCTATCTGTTGATTTTATTTGTTCATATAATTTGTGTTGTGCATGACCTCTTTGAGCCCATGACATAACACATTCTTGCTCTGGATTCCCTGAGGTTAATATGGATTCTGGGTTTTGATTCAGTTGACACTGATGGGACCAGTCAGAGGGAATCAAAAGAAAAGGAAAATGGAGAAGAAAACTGAAGAGAATTCTATGGGGTCTTCGGTGGAGAACTCAACCGACTGGTCAGATCTTCTAGCAAAGATAAATGCTGGTAATGATGAAAAGGCTTTCACTTTCTGTTTTGTTTGCAACAGTTCATTATGTAACAATTTCTTAATGGAATTGTGATGATACTGAATAAAATTCTATAATTGTAGAGACTTTAACGTTTACTTAGAAATCTTACTATTTCACCTAACAAGTTGCTTGGAAAAAAAACACATTTAGAACCGTGAACGAACTCTAATGGAGTGGTGATAAATTTCTTAAAGATGTAAAATGGGCTAGTGCTCTTGTTAAATGGACTGGATTCAGGTTCATATATTGTATCGTACTAATATGTGTGTTGTGACTAAGAGTAGAACCTGGAATTTAGCTGGGTCTTGCTTACTGTTTTTCGAATTGAAACTGATAAAAGATTGAAATGTCTGTGAATGGACTCTCATTGGTAACAGGAGTAGGGCGACTCAAAATGATTATACAACACATATATCACTGGTTGGGACAAACAAAGTTGCACCTTCGATCTGAGTAGTTAGTTCACTTATAAATGACTCGTGTTAGACTTTTTGTGGCTAAATGTCAATAGTGTCTAGGCATTGCATCGTTTGTGTGAAAAAGAATGCTCAACTGCTTATCAGGGGAGGATATTTTCTTTTCTTTTCTAAGCTATTTCATTTCAGTTTGGAGTGTCCATGCACAACTGCTCATGTACAATTTCCTACTGCTGGAAGTAAGTATCAGGCCCTGAATGGAATGTCCTGAGTATTGAACTTCCTTAGCTTGTTTTCTACTCTCATAAAAACTGAAATTTATCATGTTATGAAAGCTAACAAAGAAGAACCAGTAGAACGAAGGCTTCTCAAGTGATCCTTTAAATATCAAAGCTGAATGGCCAGAATAGGTGATGCTACGCTATACCTGACATTTCTTAAGAACCGATTGGGATGGCCTAGATCAGGAAAATAAAAAAGTTACACAGTTGCCCGTGTGTTATCTTTCTGATATCAGCTATAAAAGTAATATCGAGAGCATTCCTTTTCATTTCTGCTTGGCAAAACCATAAGCATGATAAGTTGCATGCTTCAATTACTGGCTGATTAGTTTAGAATGGGTGTTACTTAGGTTTTTCTTTAACTCTCTTGATTAACAAGAAAAGCAACAAGGATTAATGATCATACTGTCCATTGGGTTGCACAGATGTCTTAAAACTAGACAGTGGTGAAGGGTCTCACAAGTTCTGTATTATGTGTATATTTGTGAATTTCTGACAATGTATCATCAGCAGGCAATCCTTCTTCCTCTTCATCTCTAACGGACACCTTCAAATCCACATTCAAAGTCACCCTGAAGACGTTTGACTACATATGCTCGCTCGTGGGGGACCACATGATGACCAAGTCCCAGTTTTCCTTCTCAAACGGCAAACCCATCCCACTCACCCACCAGGTCGCCCTCTCCCTCCTCCGCCTCGGCTCCGGAAACTCCCTCATATCCATCGGGGAGTCGTTCGGGGCCCACCACTCCACTGTCTCCCAGGTTACGTGGCGCTTCGTGGAGGCCCTCGAGGAGCGTGGGCTCCGCCATCTCTGCTGGCCATCCTCCGCGCAAGAGATGGCGGACATACAAAGGAAGTTTGAGAGAATCCGGGGGCTCCCCAACTGCTGTGGTGTGATAGACACCACGCACATAACCATGTTGCTCACATCGTCCGACCCGGAGGCTGACTCGTGGCTCGACCGGGACGGGAACCACAGCATGGTCCTGCAGGCAATCGTGGACCCTGATCTGAGGTTCCGGAACGTGGTCACTGGGTGGCCCGGGAAAATGAGCGACTCTCTTGTTCTGCGGAGCTCGAATTTTTTCAAACTGTGCCAAAGCGGGGAGAGGCTGAACGGGGAGAGGATGAGTTTGTGTGAGGAAAATGAGGTGGGAGAGTATATAATTGGCGACTCGGGTTTCCCTTTGCTGCCTTGGCTTGTGACTCCTTATCAGGGGAAGGGGCTGAAGGAGAGGGAGTTGGATTTCAATGAGAGGCTTTTGGCTACTCATGTTGTGGCGAAAAGGGCGTTGACGAGGCTGAAGGAGGTGTGGAGGATGATTCATGGGGGTATGTGGAGGCCTGACAAGCATAAGTTGCCGAGGTTTGTACTCGTCTGTTGTATACTGCACAACATCGTTATAGACATGGAGGATGGGGGTTCCGACGAGATGCCTTTGTTGGCCGTTCACCATGATACTGGATATGGACAGGAGGTGTGTGAGTCGGTTGAGCAAGAGGGATTGATTCTGAGGGACAAATTGTCCATGTTTTTTTCTGCTACTTGAAACAGTTTTAGACTATGAGATTTTGCTGAATCACAGGAAACATATTATAGTTGGCCTTTTAGTTTTGTTATACAGTGAGACTGTACAATTTTTCAAGATTTACAACTCAATTTCCTACTAAAACACAAGGGGTTATAAATTATAGATTTGAAGGGTTTTCCGAGATAATTGTTTTTTACTAAAAAAAATAATATAAAACGTTATCACCAACTTAAAGATTTGTTAATGCAATTTTTATTTATTTATTTATTTAATTTTTTCCTTTATATCCCTGTAGATACCCTGATTCTCAGGGCTAGTTCTTGAGGATGACCCATGTTTACTTGAGTTTCAGTTTAAGACTCAACTAGTACTAATACACATGTACAATATGGGTATTGAGTTAATAAATATATGTGTCTAATACCAAACCTAACTCCAGAGCAAAAATAATATAAAAACAGCATCACGAAGCATAGATTTTCGCCATGTCAGCATTCGAAGCGTGAGAATCTACCACTTAGGCTCAACACGTTTTGAATTAATAGGCTCAACACGTTTTGAATTAATATATAGAGAGGGATGATTCGACACTACTAATAATACTTTTAGAGGGCACAAAATGAACACGAACGAGATATTCTGCCTGTGCCATCATTAAAGGATCTTTCACTATATTTTTATACTTTGACTACTGCTACAGGTGTGTGTAATTAACTGATGAATCACCACACCATTTGTTGTCGTTGGTACATTTTTTTAGGGAAGTGTTTCAAATTCAGGTCTTCCTTTCGCTAGTGCATTTTTGTTCTCCAGTTTCGCCACATAATAATTAATGATGCATGCTAGCTGACGATAGCAGTTGTAGTAAGTGGAGCTTACGTGCAAAATCTTGAATTGGCGTTGCTAAAATTCGTAATATCTAATTGTGAATTTTTTGTATGTTGTTTAACGGTACACACAAACTTGTGGCGGTCGTGAGCATTGGCTAAGAGCATCTCCAACCGTGAACATGAATTGTATTGTACGTGGTAATTAAATAGATGGTTTTGCATCCCATCCAGGTAGAACAAATAGATGTTTAAGTCCATAAAAACTCTCCAGTGGTTTATTTCTATTTCCATATTATTCATTTATTTTGTATTGTAAATAAAGAGAAAAAATAACTCATTAAGTCTAGAAGGACTTCTACATGTACAAGAACTTCTAGAATTATTGGTTCTCTTTCATGCCACATCATCATCAATAGATATAGAAAAATCACGGACCGAGAAGTTTTTTTTTTATTGAATTTCTTTTACAATCCTACGATTCACACTTGGAGATTCTTTAAATTTTTCTTGATTCTCTAAGTTTCTCCATATATAAATGAAGTTGGTGTTTCAAAACATTAGCTAAATTTGGAATGAATCAAAGTTTAAGTCTTTGGAGCAAATAACACTTAATTGCATACTCAATTTTTATTTCTATTTCTTTTTTCATAGAAAGACAAAAAGAGCTGAAATATGGATATTATATAATTTGTGAGAGAGAGAGAGAGAGAGAGACTAATTTGAATGATGTAAAACATTTGATGATATTAGACAAGTGACAACCAAGGATCGGAACTTTATACGGCACGATATAGTGTAATTTGCATCTCAATTCCGTTGTTACACTAACTTACAAAAGGATAATGTTCAAGGGAATTATCTATAGAGAACAACCATTTACTAAATATAGTAACAACAAAATTTGAGAGCATTTAATGAATATCTTATTTAGAAATTTTTTAAATCTATATATCTATATATAAAAAGGTTGATGTTAAAATTTTTTTTGGAAAGCTAAAATAATTGAGTCAAATGTTTGACTTACCACATTTGGAAAACCAATTCAAAGTTCAAAATTTGAGTTAGTTAGACCACCGTATTTATAAACTTGCTTGATGTAATTGTATATACAACTTAGATAAAATATTCAACAAAGATTCCTATTTTATTGGCAAGCAATTTGAAAGGGATCTACTTTGAAAATTTATATATATCTATGTTTGGTGTTTTGATTTGGATGAATTATGTCACTTGGAGATTTAATTTATGTTTTAAAATCTTATTTTTTTTTATGAAGACATTATTTGAAAATTTTGATTTGTACTGAAATATTATTTATTTCGATATTCAATTTTGCTATTCAAGCTTGCTAATAAAAATATTGCACTTAAATATGCTATAAAAAATTGTCCAAATTAATAATTACTTCAATTATATAATTATTATGTACACGACAAGAATATGATAAAATTCTAATGAAAATTTGTGAAAATTTGACATATGCAAGAACATTCTTCAAACGCGAAAATTAGGAAGAACACATTTTTTTTTTAATATTTACCGTAATTTTGATAAAAAAAAAATGATCAGTGCTTATCTTACCAAATATTGAAGATATATTTGAATCTAGAACCCAAAATATCAAAATGTCCCCAATTTTTGAATGGTTTATTTAAAAAATATTAACATAAAAATTTAAAGGACATTATTCAACTAACCAATTTAATGCCATCTAAGGATCCCAAATTTGGATATGCAATAAATGGTCGTGTTTCAAACAAGGAAATTCGTAACAAACATAATCATTTTGGATATTCACACAAAGTTTATTTAAATATATCTATAGATAGTTATCTAAACACTCTTTGATCCTTGAAATGTGGTATTTCAAATATCCCAACTAATGTTAGTTATTTTAAATGATTATCATTATAGTATATCTATATATATTAAAAGCGGTTGATGAATAATTAAAAAATGAAAAAAAAAATAACTTTTTGTTTGAATAGTTTGACGTAGTTATTGAGGAAATTTTTTGAATAAAATTTAAAATTAATTTTTTTTTATCATTTTGCATGAAATTTAATTTCCAAAATTGTATGCTTAAATTGTCCTGCTTCTTTGGCTTTTTATAGTACACATAAATTGTAGGCCAAAATATTGTCAACTTTCTTTAACAATTTATGTAATCATATTATTTAAAAACAAGTATGTATCGATAATTTGGTTAAAAATTAAAATATATTTAAAAATGAACGACAACAATTTTTGGTATTATGTTTTAACAATAAATCTCAAACTACGAAATTAGTTATATACATTAAAAACATAAATCGAATATTGGCAGTACTTTATTTACATATAAAATCATCATGATGTTTAAAAAGTTTGTGTTAATCATTTCTCATCAAAAAATGAATTAATGGTGGAAAATAAATTTATTTTAAGAATTAATTTACTGATCGTGGTTATAATCTAGATGTTCAGTAATTGATTATAATCTAGACCTTCAGTAATTGATTCGTAATGTTGTAAGATAATATAAACGACCATACAAATACATTACTTATTTATTTGATTTATCAATTTCTTATTCTGTTAGGATGACATACTCGGCATTTTGGTAGGTGAGAGTATTTATATGATGTACTATTATAAATTATTTATAGTCACCGTGTCCCAGTGCGCTGATAAATGCTAATTTTCACAATTAAGTTATTTATTATAGTACTTATATATATTATAAAAGCGAAAAAATTATTATGTTTAAAAACATAATAACTGATATGCAAAATATCTTCGTTATATAGTAGCTCATTTGATCAATCAGGGTGATTGAATTAGGTGCTCGCTATTAGTTGATATTTGAAATAGTCCAAATACATGACAATTGATGTTAATCCCACGTGACCGGTTATGGTCAATGACACAACCGAGGCTGATCATGATTCCTGAGTGACTAATTATGTGTCAGTTTGACCATATCAAATCGATTATTGAACTAATTATCTTAATACTAAAAATACTTTATTAAAATAAATGTAATGTAGTTCATACTCCAAAAAAATTATATGAAGATTGCTTTTATTACAACATTTTCAAGGATTTATGAACACTTATATATTATTTTATTAATATTTATGTGAACGCAATGGTATTGCACTACATTTTTATTAATGTACTGTAAATCCAAGGTTCTCAGGAGAGGACAATTTTAAACCGACCAAGTTATTTATTCAATGATTTATTAATTGTATCAGAATTTGAATTATCAATATTTAAATATATATATAGTATTTTTTAAATAAATTTATTAAATATATTAATTAAATATATGAACAATTTAAACTTATTCAATGTTTAAACTAAATGATAAATATTTTATAAATATTCATTTTTAAATATATATTTTATTTATTTTAAAAATAGTTTTAAATATAAAAAATTTATTTAAAAAATCGTAACGATACTACCAATATGATCGACTGGTGTTGATTGATTCTATTGCAAATATTTTATACAATCGAACTGAACTGGTCGATAAACTGGATCCAGTCCATACAGTCGGACTGTTTGGTCCAATCCAGTTTTAAAAACAATAGGTAAATCATGATTAATGTTATTTATATATTTTATTGATAATAGTACAATCATAATATTGTTCCCCGTGCATCGCACAGGTCACGTACTAGTATATATATTAATTACTTTCATATACAAATTTCCAAATTGAATATGATCAAAAAAAATATTTCCTTGAATAAATTTAATAGCATTGCAATAACAAACTGTAATTTGATTTTTCGTGATTTATGTTGATAATATTTTAGCCAACATAAACATGAAAATAAATTTTAAGTCTTAACTATATTATTATTCTTGTTTTCACAAATGTTGACTTTCATCCTAAAATATTTATAAACAATCGTAACTTCTTAAATAATTTTCTCCTTCTAACTAATAAGGCGAAATCAAGTTATTGAATTAATAGTGTTCGATAATATTTTTTAACCTTTATTTAATTATATAAAAAATAATTATTTTTTAAGTTAAAATTATTTACCATCTAAGAAATAATGATCACATCATTAAATAATTTACTAATGGATGGGTAATAAAATTAAAATATATAAACTATTCTTTACATTTTCAACATTTGATTTATTTGTATATTATTGTCAACCATGACAATTTTATCATTCTTTTATG